CAAATTCTCCTAAATCACTCGTACGCACAACTTAAGAACAAATCTGTGCGTACGAACGGTTCTTGCATGAGGCCCATTCTGTACAATTTGCATGTTAGCAAAAAGAAAATCAAATGCCATCAGAGCACGCTCAGCCTGTTTGAGTCTTTCTGCTGCTTTAGTTCTTGGAAATAAATAATATAAACACTAAATTTTTGTAACCCTCATGATGTTCTCTCTGTATTTTAAGTGTTTGTAGGATTTTTTAAAACATCTTCAAATTTCAATTCTACATGGGATTATAGCAAAATTAACAAGGTTTTGACTATTTGGAAGTGCAAAGCTTGTTTACAGTGCTTATAAAGTATTCACCCCTGTGGATATTTTAGGTCTCTATYGCTTCCATAAATCAATCTAGGTCAATATCAATTGACCTTAAAAATAAAAATTCTTTAGTGTCAACATAAAATTAAATTTCTACAGAGTAATACAAATTAAATAAGAATATGCAAAGTGAAATAACTGATAGCATAAATATTCACTTCCTTTAAAATTACTGTCTTAATTCAAGTACAAGTCAGGATGGATTTAAAAGGATTTCCAAGATCCTAAACATCCACAGGAGCTCTGTTAAATCTATAATCAAGACATGGAAAGAAAATGTAAACGTGTAAAACTACCAGGAGCAGGTCGTTCTCAAAGTGATGTGAGTGAAGAAGAATGGTGAGAGACCTACAGAAATGCTTTTTGCGCTCAGTTAAAAAAACTGCCTTCGAGGAGAGACGAGGAGGTCACAGGGTTTCCTTTAAAGCCCACATGTCCACACAAGACAATTAGATCAATGAAAAAGAAGCACAGAAATGAAAACCTTCCAGTACAGTACTGTGTATGTTTGTGTGTTTTGTTTAAGGAAAGTCCTTTGAAATCCCTGATTAGTTCCAGAGGACTTGCAGGCTAAGATGAAACAGCAGTGAAAAGAAAAGAAGCCTTGCGTAAAGATTTCCACAATCCTGAGCAGGAGTTTGGCTTCAACAGACATCAGTCAGAGAATAATCAGGTTTTATCTCCACTACAGTTAGCTGAACACAAACTTCAACAGAGGTACAGCACTTATGGAAAGGGTTGATTTTTGCTTTTGACTTACCACAAATACCAGTTTTCCCACATTAGTCCAAGGGAAATCATACAACAGCTGCCTCACAGAGCCAACGTTCTGAAACACATCAAAGAGAAACATGGATGGTTTTCAGCTGAATAAAAGAAACAAAGACATTAGTGCTGCAAAGTCATATCAAAGTTATATCTTCACGTTGAATCCTCATTTTGGCTGTGAAACCAAAGACCCTCAGACCAACATGAGCTTTTCACAGAAGCAGATATATCTAAGTAGGTCTGTCAGAATAAGGTCATTTGGATTAACTTCACTTCAGCATCTTGTGAGTCTCTAATGTTTCATCCTGACATACAGTTTTTACTCTAATTTGTCTCCTCTTAAACCTCCTGCTGTCCTTGTGTTAAAATGAACCACTAGGCTTCAGTTTAAAGGATGTTTCACTTCATGTTTATAAAAGTTGAGTTATGGTCAGAAAGTTTGAGTGTCTTTGAACTAAATGCAGGTTCAGCTCAGTATCATGTACTGTGTCGCATCAATGCTGAGCACTGAATGACTGCTGAAATGTGCTGAGGAAGATGAGGATGAGGAASACAGAGCCCTTCCTAAAAGCTAAAAGTTGCTAAACAGACTAGAAGAAGAAAGATGCTAGCTAAAAGGACAAAAATATGAGCTACAAGAAGCAATATGCTAGCTACAAGAAAGAAAACAGTACCTACAAGAAGCAAAACACTAACTAAAAGGGAGAAAACACTAGCTAAAAGGGAGATAACATTAACTAAAAGGGAGAAAACGCTGACTAAAAGGGAGATAACATTAACTAAAAGGGAGATAATACTAACTAAAAGGGAGATAACATTAACTAAAAGGGAGATAACACTAGCTAAAAGGGAGATAACATTAACTAAAAGGGAGATAACACTAGCTAAAAGGGAGATAACATTAACTAAAAGGGAGATAA